AGATAGGCATATGTGGTGAGAGGTTTTGGAAGGAGATAAAAGTTAGGAAGGCAGTATACTCCTTACTCTGTAATGGGGAGCTGGGATGGCAGAAGAACTTCTGAGAGCCAAGTTGGATAATGAGAAGAACTGAAAAAACTTACAGCAATGGGATGAATTTGGAAAAATGTATGCAAAACAGGAAGATAGTTAAGAATCTAAAAGTATTATTCAGGTCTTAATTGAAAAAGAATATATATAACATTTTAATTTTATTGGAACTTTGTTGAACAAAGCTGAATTCTAGTTCTCTATTTGGGAACAGTGCTTTTATAGTATGCAGTATGCTGTGTTAGTAATTCTAGGAACATTCAAGGTCTCTGCCTAGGATTACAGGGATGCTGTAATAATATTAAGTCTCTTACCTGTGTTTAATTATAAGGATGGTAGTTGAAAATAATGCCATTATTATGTACTGTCGAGTAGGAACTGACTCATAGCTGACCCTCCACCGAGTTTTCAGAGGCAACAAATCACACGGGAGAAGACAGTTCTTCTTAGTCTTGCAGAACAGTTGATGGCTTTGAATTGCCTCGGTTTGCCTTGGCAGGGTAGCTCCTTACTGCTGCACCACCAGAGCTCCTTAGTTGGGAATGTGGTTGATAGTGCTCTCTACTATTAACTTAAAACCCATTAATTTGTTTCTTGATTAAGGAATTAATATAAATTTATGCTAAAGTTTTCAGATAATGTGGAAACAGGACGGGTTGGGTAAAGCTTGTGAGCACCATCAGTCAGAAATAACTACTGGCTTTTTCTGATGACGAGCATTTAGATTGCTTGCACTTTTTAGGCATCGTGTATATAGTGCTGCAAAAAACAATGAAAGGGAAATATAAAAAAAAAAGAAATAACGACTAGTGTTTTTATATGTATTTGTACAGATTTTTAAAATTTTCAAGTAATGTAGAAATTTCCCCAAAAGTGATGCTTCCATTAATCTTTAACTAAATTCCATCTAAAATAATACAAGGGTAAATTTTAACCATTGAAATAAGTTGGAAGAACATTTATTTATTGTGCTAGGTTCTATGGGATTTAAAAAAGGTTATTAAAGCGTAACTCTATTCCTAAAATTTTTTTTCAATTTATGAAATGCAAGTGATAGACTGTGTATTTGCTTAAGATTCCTCTGAGAACATGAAAAGATCTGTGTGCAGGTTTCAAGTAATTCTTTTAAAAAAGTCTTAGGTATTTTGTTAATTGCTATTTATTGAAAGTTGAGAAATATGTGATTTAACTTACATATATTAACTTATTGGAAGCAGGAGCGGCATCCACTTCCAAAATGGCTTGCCTCCAGAAACATTATGTACAAACAGTGCTCAGGCCGTTCATTCATAGGGTCGCTATGAGTTGTCTACGACTCGATGGCATCAAAGAACAACAACAACATCTTAACTTATAGTTAATAATATCTTTTAAGTTGTTTTATGTTCTTCTGAGTGCAGAGTTTCTCTCCAAACAAAAATGTTTAACATTATGAAGTGTGGATTTGTAGAAATGGATGCTACTTATTTTATTTTTTTTTTCCTTGTTGTATACAATGGAGTCAGATCCAACTGGCACAGGAGGAGATTGCTCCTCCTTTTCCAGGAGAGCATTTGGTAGAGTCAAACCATACGCCTCCTGGATTGCAGTGCAGCTTCATACCACTACACCACCAGAGCTCCCTTGGTATTTTACTCTTTTCGCAATCGGCACAAAGTACAGCATTTGAAAAGAATTAAGTTTAAGTAGAACAATGGAAAAGAATTTAGTGGGTTATGATTGAAAAGTTGGTTTTCTGCTCTATTAGTATCCTCCCGACTAAATAAATTAGTGAAATTATTTCCATTTCTAAAAATAAGAAAATTAATCGGCCTCGTATTTCTGCTGTAAGAATATTAGACTTAATTGGCTGTTTATTCTCTGTTATTGTGACTTAATTTTTCCCTTAGATAGTAATGAATAAAAATTAAGCTAGTAATATAAATAATAAAGAACTAAAAACAAATATGGTAATAGTACATAAAAGATTTAGTGGATTCAAAGTGTGTGTATATGTATTTAGTCAAAGTAAGTTATTTTTAAGAATATAATTAGTGGATTTTATAAAATGTATATTAGAACATTGTTGTTGTATGCCATCGAGTCAGAACCAGGTCTTACCCTCTGGTGGGTTTTTAGAGGCAGTATTATGTGGGAGGAGATTGCCTGTTCACCTGTGGATCAGCTGGTGGATTTAAGTTATCTGCCTTTGTGATTGCAGTGCAGCTTCTTACCACTAGGTTATTAGGAATTTGGTAATTTTAAATTAAAAATAAGAGATTGAAATAGGAAAACAAAGTACTTATTGGAAAATAGGCCCTTGATTTCAGATTATAAAGAAAGGAAGAACGTGGATAGAGTTTTGCCTACCTTTTACCATTACTCCTACGTATCTTGGACAAGTTGCAGTTACTGTCAGAACTCATTTTCTACATACCTGGAAATAGAGATAGTGGTGTTGACACAGATTTTGCTCTGCTATAACTCAGTGACCACTGCCCTCTGGCAGTTCAAACCCACCAGTGGCTCCATGAGGGAAAGATGGCCAGTCTCCTCTAGTGTGAAAATCCTCTGGAGGGTTGGCTGTGAGTTGATTCCAATTTGCTGGCAATGATTTGAGTGTAGATATTAATTTTCCAGAAATGTAACCTGATTTCAGTAGGGGACTTGGGATGACAGGTATGATTGCTGATGTCAAATGGATCTTGACTGAAAGCTCAGAATACTAGAAAGAAGTTTTGTTATCTGTTCAAAAGTATTCTACTGTGTGGATCATAGTGAGTATGGATAACATCTCAAAGAACGAGAATTCTAGAACACTTAATTTTCAGGGTGAGCTCTGGCAGTATTTTCTGTAGGGAGTTAACCTTGCTAAATCAGAGGTGGCACCTTTCTGGTAGTTCCACTAGTGGCTCTGAGGGAGGAAGATGAGTAATCTCCTTGTGATTTACAAGTTCAGAAACTCACTGGAGGACTACCTTTGGCACAAAAGGGATTATGAGGTTGGTGCAGGATCTGGCAGTGTTTCTTTTTATTGGACATAAGAGTCATTAAGAGCCGCCTCATTAGAACCTA